CTGGAAAAGGTGAGGGTGGCTGCAGTAGTGGCTGCGGGAGCGGGGGGCGCCCTCAAAATCAGCGACCGTCTTTAGGCATATAATATCTGTTGTTTCAGGTCTGGATTGCCGAGAGCCGTGGAGCGCGGGGCTGGGGGGGGGCGCGCGGAATACGGTTTGTCTAGGGCTTCCGCAGGACTTTGTAACTCCAGGAAAAATGCCAACGTGCGTTTACTTGAGGGTCTGCTTTAAGCACAGCGCGCTGACGGTGCCTCCTCGAAAAAAACAAGCCATTGCCGAGACGGGCAGTCCATATAAGGTTGGTCTCCGCACATGAACCTGCCGAGAGGAGGGAGAGGAAGGGGTGGGGGAGAGAAATACATTAAAAACGCAAAAGGTTGGCCACGTGTGGGCGGGTCTTAGGAGTCAAGTGGATGAAGACAGTGTTTGCAGATGTGAAATTGCGGGGTTTTTGGGAGGGGGAACGAACCTCTACCATTGGTGCTGTAGCACATGATGAGTGGTATAACGTGTCAATTAATTACAAAGATGGGGAGGGCCTTTTCTACACAGTATTTACATACAAAGGAGCTCCAAGTAGCCAGATATTCCACATACTTGAAAGTACGTTTTAACAAATTGCCTCTGGAATACCGCCCCCTCCCCGACACGCACACACACACACACACACAGCCCCATTTTGCATTTATTTTCTGTTTTCTATCCTCGTCATGGATATAAAACTTTCTTTCTTTCTTTCTTTCTTTCTTTCTTTCTTTCTTTCTTTCTTTCTTTCTTTCTTTCTTTCTTTCTTTCTTTCTTTCTTTCTTTCTTTCTTTCTTTCCAGCTATGCTGAAAATCTGACTATTTTGCAGTTTTGTTGCTTAGTCGTTAAGTCGTGTCCGACTCTTCCTGACCCCATGGACCAGAACACGCCAGGCCCTCCTATCTTCCACTGCCTCCCGGAGTTCGGACAAATTCATGTTGCTGGCTTCGATGACACCGCCCAACCATCTCGTCCTCTGTCGTCCCCTTCTCCTCTTGCCTGCAGTAGCCTGAGCTAAATTTTGCAGCAGCCTGAGCTAAATTCTCCACCTTGAGAAGAACTGAAGAGAAGAAGAGACGAAGGGGAAGAGCAATCTCCTCAAATTAGTGGTTGTAACCCTAAACAAGATGTTGTTGCGATGGCAAGAGCCCAACTTATGTAAACCTCCTAGGTCAATATTTTGGTTGAGGCTTAAGGATGAGTGCTAGAAATTAAACAGCTAGTAATTGATTCCAGTTTACTCCGAAATCAGCTAAACTGGCAATGAAGAGGATCATTCAGCTCCTAGATAGAGTCGAACGATTTTTCCTTATTTGCACATGACTAATTTATTTCACTCTTCCTCTTTCCTAGAGAGATTTACTTGTTCTTTAAACAGGGCATGCCTCTGCAGAGGCTGCAGTTAGCCATTTAAATAAAAAAACATTCTGTTTTAGAGTGATATTTTGAGGCAAAACACACACATGGGCACACCAGATTTCACAATTTCAGTTGCAATACAATGTTAAAAAGCCTTTTAAAATAGCACTTAGGTTATTGCCTCAAATAATATGTGTTGACTTGTGGAGTATGATGCGCTTAGTCACTCAGAAAAGCATTTTAGGAATACTGAAAGACAATAAAACACGTGCATAGAAAAATTCCCATGATTGTCGGTCTTCACTTGAACCAAACTTTCTTCTTCCCCCCTCCCCCACCCCTTTCTTTGCCAGCAGTCTTCCCTCCTCTCCCTTTCCCTTCATCCCATAAAACATCGACCCCCCCCCCCCCGTCTTGCTTTCGGACCCCAGAGATTCACGGTTCGTAGCCCTTCCTTGGGACGCTCTCCTCCACCCCCACCCCAGCCAAACTCTGTACGAGGGAACTCTCTGGCTGTCTCTTGATCTAAAGCTGAAGGAGGAATACTGCAGCATTGTTTATCTTCGAGGAAATCTGGGTGGGGCTGCGGTGTGGCGGCGGCTGCGATGGCGGTCAGGGTGGTGGTGGTGGTGGTGGCGGCGGCGATTCTAACTGCAATATTTAGGGCACGACAGAAGTGGGTGGAAGGAATCCTCCCGGGGTCTTCAAAGCCGGCTTCGGGAAAAGATTTTCAAAAGGGGGGTCAAACGGGATTGTCTCCCTCTCCCCTGTAGACTCACCCGCCTCGCAAAGTCCTTTAACACTTTTTGGAGAATATCAAGATGCTGTAGTTGTCTGACTTTCTGTGCCGGGTGGATAACTTGACTGGGGAGGGTTGAACAGGGGGGAGGGTGATGGGATGCAAGGAGGGAGGTTTGTTGTAATCTGAAAAGACGTACCAAAGCAATTAACGATTGTTGATCAGTTTATTTCAGTGTATCTCACCCCACCCCCTCCCTGTGCCTCCCATCTCGTATGTGATGTGGATGACAATGCTTCGGTTTTTTTTTTTTTTAAAGCAAGTCCCTGAACGCATCCTGGGTGGTCGGGCCGGGGCAAACACAAATACAAACCGACTGCTAAGCTGCGGACAATGGGCGAAATGTAGACAAATGTCCGGCTTCTGTTGGAAGCTTTTGTCCTAGACCAGGTTTTGCATTTATTTCACTGGCGAAATAATACATGATTGACGCCCTCTTTCAATGTGTTCTAACTGTTTGGAATAAATCTGAGGTTGTTCCTAGTTGTCATGGCATTCAACGTCTTTCAATGGACTATCTCTTCATTCATTTCGGAATCTTGCCACAATATTAAGGGAAACCCCTTCATGAGGATGTTCCCTAGCTCTTCTTCTTTTTCCCCCCCGAGAGAAAAAATAATAAATAAATAAACAAATGCAGCGCTTTTTTTTTTTAAAAAAAAGGGGGGCGGTGGAAATCGATTGAAAAAAAGGAATAGATTTTAAATCGGTATACATTATTTTCATTGCACGTACGGAGAATGGGGTATTGGGGAAGAAGGAGCCCATAAGTCAAAATTTGACAGCAGTGCAGAAATTATTCCAGTTAATAATATCCATCTCTATAAAATGAGAGAGGGACACCCTGATTTTTAAATAAATCCGCTAACTTGAGATAATGCGATCAAATTATATAAGGCAGGAAGGCAACCTAACGACTGAGAGGGGATCTTAGAAGGTTGAATAGATTAATAGCAGCAAATGTAGAAAATAGATAAATAAATAAATATATCCTAGAGAGTGGTGAGATGAAGCGAGCATTCATTGTTCTTCTCGTTGCGATGCAATTTTAAGACGGGGTGGGGGTGGGACTCTCTCCTGCTTGGAGCCAGGCCAAGACAAGTAACATAACACGACTTTGGGAGACGCCAGCCACCGCACGCAGCTACAAATAACAGCAACAAAAACACACACAACAAGCGGCTCTGTCTCTACTCCGCGCCCGTTTCTATGGTCTTCCCCTTAAATCAGGCTCTGGGAAGGGGAAGGGAGAGCGGAGGAGAAGGGTGTGCGTGCGCGCGCGCCAAGGTGGTGATGAAAGAAGGAACACTGTGGAAGGTATCACCTTTATTTACCTATAGGCCTTTCCCGTGACCCAGGAAAGGATGCTTAGCTGGGGTTTTGTTTCTTTTTGTTGCTGTTGTTTTTGATGGGCTCGAACTACCCGGCTGAATCTTTTAGAGATTCGGTCAGAAGACAAAAAGATTTTCTGTAACTCCAAGAGAAAAGTCTCACTTGTTGAACTGTATCAATAAAGACCTTCTGCTGGAGTTACACTCTGGAGCACACGCTCCTCATGTGATGGGCCCGGACCGATTCGCTCCCTCCGGCCACCTGATAAGCAAATATTTTCCTAAGGGAAAATCAGGGCTCCTAGAGAACATTAATCAGCTGCCCTTGGAACGGGGGTGACAATAGGCTATTGAGAAGAGCACACACCGACTGAGCGGCACAGCTGGACTGTGACCAGCTATTCTCCTTTGTACACAAAGGATCTGCAATAAGTCATAATTTTGTTCCTTATCGCCAGCACCCCCTCCCTACCCCCACGCATCAGTGTATGGCTTACCTGAAAGTCTGCCTTACCTACAAAGTTCCCACAACTGCTTGTTAAGAGGGAAACCTACCCATCCCCAAACCCTTCCCTTTCTCTTCTGCAATACCTGTCAACTCATAGATGTTCATTTGTTTCTGCTTATTACACAGTCCCTTTGCCGCCCCAAGTCTATTTCAAAGCATTCTCGGATGTTTTGAGCACAGATTTTGCACCCTCATTTTAACCTCTGGTGGAAAGGGAACCTAAGCCTCTGAGGCTTCGTGGGGGAGGGGGGGGGAACCGAGGGAACACAAAGATAAATTCTACCCATGTTGTGATCGAGCAGATTTATTTTCTGCCAGGACAGAAAAGAAATGCTACTCGCTGGCCCAACTATCTGGATTGTGCCATCAAGTTCTTGTTCCAGAAGGCAACGGGGAAGGCCATTTTGAGAAACCACTGCAGGTTGTTGGGGCCCTCCAACTTCTCGACAAGCGGAAAACCCCGGACTTTACGTTTGGGGAATCAAAATTTTTTAAGGTGCTGTTTCCAGAAGAAAACCTGTGGGCCTGACTTTCTGGATTGGAATTTCTCTTTGCTGAAATGATTAATCCGTTTCCCTACTGAGCCGGAGTCTTCCTCTTTGGGGTTCTTAAATATATACTCTGCATAGTCACCAGTCCTCCCGGGTGCACGGGGCTTATATCTTCTTTTCCCGGGCTCGTTTGTTTCACAAAGGGACTTCCCAGGCCAGTTACTGTATAGGCTTAGACTATGCTGAAGCAAGTTTACGGCAGAAAAGAACGCTTGCAGCCATCCATCCCCTGTCCCAAGACATTCCAAGTGGAGCTTCACAGTTACCTTAAGCTCCCAAGATTGCTTTCCCAAGTTACTTTGTGGTTTTTTTCACCCCCATTGCTCATATCTGAGATCTAAGGTTTT